AACGGTGATATCATATTCTTATTTGGGGAGGATGCGCAATAAATAATATCGGTGTTGACTGGAATAACCAGACGCTAGAAACTGACTTGCGGTTGAGACTTCTGGCGTATTTCGCCGAACATAACTGATGACAATTCACAGTAAAACGGACACGATTGAATGTAAAACAGTATATATTAATTCATATTACATTATTATGTGTGTTGCGACTCATTTGTGCCAATTTCTAGGTCCAAAATATTAGCGATTTAGCTCCTTTAACCCGAGCTGATTTCAAACACACAGGTAAGTTTATAATAACCAAAGTTAAATAGTTTGTTCATAATTGAAGAAATCCGTTTGTAAAATAGGAAGGTTCAGACAGTAATAGTAATGAGTAAGTACTAAGTAGTTTGTTCATAATCGAAGAAATCCGTTGCAAATTTACGATGGTTCGAACAGTAGACATAAATTTTATGTCTAACTTTCTCAAAACAAGAATCACGCGGGTATAAAAGTAGTACATGTATTAATAACTAAAAATGTCATTATGAATATGATTACATTTTATTTATATCGGAATATCGGGTTTTGTCTATTGACGTTATGACAAAGCAGCGGAAGTGTTTACTTGCAAGAATTTGCTCACCATATCAATTTGCGCAACGACATAACCTTGTAATTAATATTTACACCTTGTACCTTGAAAACTGCAGCCTTGCTAAATAAAGTCACAACATTTTATCTTTTACAGTTTGGAAAATTCCAACTACCTGCTTCAAAGTTTACACTTTTATCGCCTACCTTTATTTATTCCGATCAAGTCCAATAGGTAAATTCTTACTCACTCGTGTCAAAAATGAAGAATCCAATCAAGGGAGGTAATTCTTGTATGGAATAGCACCACAGTTCTTTAACATAAACTTCCAAGTTAAAGTAGCCAAGTCTCTAACTCAATATCATCCAAAGTCTTCGACATTGAAAACAAAAATTATTTGTCAATTTAAATCAACATTGATGTTGGGATCTTACCGGGAAAAGATGGGCTTCTGATATCCAATATTTAAGACATAATAAATATTTTACCATTGGTACACGAATCGTGTACCATAATGCGTTTCAGTGTCATTTGTGACAAGGGACTCGAAGAGTCGAAAAACGAGCCTAGACATATTCCACAAGTCATATCAAACAGTGACCCTATATTCTTATCTGGAGATTGAGACTTCTGGCATATTTTGCCTAATATAACTGATTAGAAATTAGAGTAAAAACGGAAACAATTGATTGTAAATCGGTTTATATACATTCACATTACGTTATTATATGCGTTGCGACCCATTTGTGCCAATTTCTAGGTCCTAAATATTAGCGATTTAGCTCCTTTGATTTAGAATATTTATTTGCTCAAGACTCTATTTCTAACATTCTGTGCATTCAAATATTTTTTACCCACAAAGAGTTAAACATGTAACAAACACCTTGATTGGGCTGATCATCTACATCTAAATATACATGTAGTAGAAATCTAAATTCAACTGCTTTCCAACCATTTGAAACTGTAGCCCTATTCTCTATTGCCAAGCAAATTCATAATTTTGCATTCACTTCATTCTATGAAATATTCAATAACTGTCAACATAGTAATTTACCCAAGCCACTGGGAAAGTTTCATTTTGGTTCCATGAGCTTTAAAAAAAATGATTCTACTAGATTTTATATGGAATACTGCTAGATTTAGTATGGAATAGAATTGAAATGTTAATAAATTTGTTTGAAACAATGGGTTCAAAATTGCAAGTTATATAAATATCATTATGTCTTGTGTGTTTCTTAATTGTTATTTGTGGCACAGTCCCCCTGCATACACAAATGGTTTGACAAAGACTGTAACAGACTACGTAGGGACATGTTTAGAGGCCTAACACAATTTTAACAATAGCCCACAGAATAATTACTTAAGAGAAATCTATTATATAATCTTCAAAAAAAGTAGGGGATATTCAGAAACAATACAAAACTGCGGAAATGCAGTGTTGTTTTCATTAGAGGTAACAAGTGTTTGTTAATAACAGGCCAATTGCCTACACATGAACATAAACAGTTCATATGGGCGGCTTATTTGACGGCCCCATTTCACTCGCAAAGAGATACACTGTCAAAAGTGAAAATGGACGTTTTTGATTTTTGTCTTAATGAGTAATTGCTATACCAAACCTGACATTCAGCAGTTCGTCGTGGCATGCTCCTAATCAACCGTCCAATCACGATTTCAGGCAATTTGACCCACTCTTCTTGCAGTGTTGTCTGTTGACGTTGACGTCGACGAACACGTATCCAGATCAAGTTAAATGTAACACACTAAAGCGAAGATACGCTAAACAATAAATCTTATGCAAGAACCTGGTAAATTCTTTGTTAGATGATAAAAATGATAACCCTAAAACATTGACATTCCTATTGATAACTGGCATCAGCATTTTTATAAATTATTCCAAAATAATAATATGAACGATTCTGACTCTCAGGAAATAGATAAATTAATCCACAATCTCCAAATATCAAATAATGTAAACCTTGAATTAAACCAAGAAATTTCAGCCATAGAAATAAGAAATGCATTTAAAAAGTTCAAACCTGGAAAAACAAATGGCCCAGACTTAATTTTAAACGAAATGCTAAAGGCTTCTTCAGAAATCCTAATAGATCAGTACATGAAATTTTTAAATTTAATCCTGGCTTCCGGAGTAAAACCGTCAAGCTGGAATCAATCCTACATAGTACCAATACATAAAAAAGGTCCAAGGGAAGACCCTGGGAACTATCGAGGAATTGCCCTGGCTAGTTGTCTTTCTAAATGCTTCCTGTCAATTATTAATAATAGAATTACAGATTATCTTGAGTCAAACAATATGTTAGGTCAAGTGCAAGGTGGCTTTCATAAAGGTCATCGTACCGCGGACAATATATACATTCTCAAAACTATCCTAAATAAATATAAAAGTAAGAATCAAAATGTTTTTATCAGTTTCATAGATTTTACTAAAGCATTCGATACCATTTGGAGAAAGGGGCTCTTACTTAAATTACTTAAACATGACATAAATGGAAATATCTTTAACATAATAAATTCAATGTATAGCGGTACTTCATATATAGTTAAAACCAACAATGGACTTTCCAAACAAATAAGTTCAGATATCGGTGTCAAACAGGGCTGTGTGTTAAGCCCACGCTATTTAATATTTATGTTTTGCAAACTTATATTGGTAACACAGCAGCTCCTTGTCTCAAAATATCTCACCTGCTATTTGCAGATGACCTTGTATTATTCTCAACTTCTTTGCTAGGTCTTCAAAAATCTCTTAACCGTCTGCATGAATATTGTACTAAGTGGAAATTGGAAGTAAACCCAATTAAATTTAAAATAATGTGTTTCATACATACAACAAAAGATAATAAAATTCTCAAGCGTAAAAATGTAAATTTTACTTTTGGTAATACTTCTCTGGATATCGTTAATTCATATATGTATTTAGGCATAAATATAACAAATAACAATTCTTTTAAAGGAGCCATGTCTGACCTTTGCAAAAAGGCAAGGCGAGCTTGGTAAAAGTAAAGTATGCATCCCTAATCAATTACCTACAGAAGTTCTAATTAAACTGTACGACTCTGTTGTAAAGCAAATTGGATTGTATGCCTCTGATGTTTGAGGTTCTCATTTAGTGCACAATGTCAAATTAAATTTACCTAAGTGGAGTAATATAGAACACAAGTTAACCATAAAAACCTGTAAGTCAATATTGTGCCAACCCCCTAAAACTACTAATATGGGTTGCCTTGCTGAGCTCGGAATCTTCCCATATATATCATAGAATGCTACTCTATTATAAAAGATTAAACCATCCTGACATGAAAGATTCAAACCCGTTACTGGCTGAAGCCTATAATGATGATATTAAAATAGCTAAGTCTAATATTAAACTTTCATGGACTGCCTCTATAACATACTTAATAAATTATTTCAATATAAATCCGTCAAACCTCACTAAAATCAAAACATCACTTCAATCCAAATTCAACTTCCTTTTCACTGAATCATATCACTCCAGCCCATTTAAAACTATAAAACTTAGGACTTACGGTTTATTTAAAACGAAAATCTATAAACCTATAAGAACTTTAAAACAGCCATGACCGCACTCACTTCAAATTGAAATGAGCAGATACAAAAATGTCCCCTCAGATCTAAGAATATGCCAACAATGCTCTATGCACAAAACTGAAGATGAAGCACATTTTTTTACTAGAATGTCCATTGTATGAAAATTTACATACCGTTCACATATACCCAACATTTACAGATAATTATCTACCCTATTCTCTAGAAAATCTATTTAACCCACCCAAAACAGTTGTAAAATCAGTTAGTGCATTTGTATTTCATGCAATGAATCTAAGAACATAAATTGTATAGAGCTACATGTGTCACTATCTTTTGTATCAAAATTATTATCGAGATTTCCATGTATTAATAAATTTCATCCCATGTTTTATTACTTGATTCATGTAATGCTTCTAGCATTCCTATACCATATTCCAATGTCAACACCTATACTAAGTCTTTCTGTTATTTATTTATTTATTATATTTATACCCATTCATCATACTTGTGTTGAATGTTGTGTCACTATCAGACCAGTTTGAGATAAATGTGTATTCTGAGATGATTATCATACTGTTTGTCCTGTTAATGAATGTGCAACCTAGATTAAAATTATCATTTGTCTTGTTTGTAAATATATATATTATTTGTCATATTGTTATACATTTATGTACATGTTTATATTGTATGCTGTCCTCAATGGATGTTTCGATACAATAAAATCTTATCTTATCTTATACCATTTAAATGTTAAATGATATCAGCTTGGTGTCCAAAGAAGCTATGAGTGCTATGACACCTATATGCTTCTTGCTACTTTAAATCCCCATTATTGAAAAATTAATTAAATCCATTGTAAATAAATAAGATTTTTTTTATTATTAAAATACATTATATACAATATAAAAGGTAATTCACAACTTCACTTTTCATTATCAATGAACAGGATTAATAGTTTAAGCAGTTATAACGGGGCTATTGCCAGTATCAGATTTCATTCCAAATTCTATAGCAAATAAAAATTTCAGACAAAAGTGAAAAAAATTTCAACTGCCTAATATTTTGTCTTATATTCAAACTTTCAACTTAAAACTGAGGTATTTCCTTTATCTTAAAGATGTCTTCCTGCATACAAACCATGTGATTTGATGATATATTGGACTAACCAGCGGCTGCCAGGCAGGATACGCCCACATTTTTGAGAGATGGATAGAGAACAAGCTAAAAAGAAAGAGATTTTTCCTTCAATCAAGGGCCATAATTCATGACGTTACAATTTGATATGTGCAAATATTGAAAGGAACCAAGATCTTTGGGTTATAAACATGCATTTCAAGTTTCATCAAAATCAGCTTAAAATTGTGACCTCTACAGGGTCCACAACCTTGATATACCATATTTTTACACAATTCGCGTAAAAGCGACGGCAATTTTGTCCAACAGTTTTGGTCCGATTTCACGAAATTCGAGCTCAACCTTCGGATAATAATTGTGACCTCCAGAGGGACCACAAGCTAAAATCGGCGATTTCACGTACAATCAGGAACCATAATTCAGGCAGTTAAGATCTGCTATGTGCAAATATCGAAAGGAACCAAGATCTTTGGGTTATAAACATGCATTTAAAGTTTCATTAAAATCAGATTAAAATTGTGACCTCTACAGGGTCTTCAACCTTGATATACCATATTTTTATACTATTCATGTACAGGCGGCGGCTATTTTGTCCGGCAGTTTTCATCCGATTTTCACGAAATTCGAACTCAACCTTCATTACGGTGTAATGGTGATATAATTAAACGTTTTTTTTAAAATCCGTTAATAATTGTGACCTCCAGAGGGACCACAAGCTAAACCAGCGGCTGCCAGACAGGATACGCCCAGATTTTCCAAGAGATGGATAGAGGACACGCTAAAAACAATCAGGGGCAATAATGCAGAAAGTTATGGCCTGAACTGTGCAAATATCAAAAGGGACTGAGATCTTTGGGATATAAAGATATGTTTTAAGTTTCATCAAATCGGACAACCAGCGGCTGCCAGGCAGGATACGCCCACATTTGCGAGAAATGGATAGAAAACAAGCTAAAAAGAAAGCGATTTTTCGTACAATCGGAGGCCATAATTCAGGAAGTTATGGTCCGATATGCACGAATATCGAAAGGAACCGAGATCTTTGGATTATAAACTTACATTTCAAGTTTGAACAAAATTTGAACTCAGCTGTCCTTAGGGTGTAAAAATTATGACCTCTAATGGGTCCACAAGCTAAAAACGCGATTTTCCGTACAATCCGATATGTGCAAATATCGAAAGGAACCGAGATCTTTGGGTTATAAACTTGCATTTCAAGTTTCAACAAAATCGGATAAAAATTGTGACCTCTATAGGGTCCACAATTTAAAAACGTGATTTTTCGTACAAACAGGGGCCATAATCAATGAAGTTTCGATCCGATACATGCCCATATCGAAAGCAGCCAAGATCTTTTGGTGATAAACCTATATTTCAAGTTTCGTCAAAATCAGATAAGAATTGTGACCTGTAGAGTGTCCACAAACAATTGTGGACGGACGGACAGGGGCGACGACAATATACGTCCACATGAAAATGTGGGAGTATAAAAAGGTGATTTTTCGTATAATCAGGGGCCATAATTAAGGATGTTACGATCCGATATGCCAAAATATCGAAAGGAACAAAGATCTTTAGGTTATAAACATACATTTCAAGTTTCATCAAAATCAAATTAAAATTGTGACCTCTACAGGGTCCACAACCTTGATATACCATATTTTTACACTATTCGCGTACAAACGGTGGCCATTTTGTCCGGCAATTTTGGTCTGATTTTCACAAAATTCCAACTCAACCTTCCTTACGGTGTAACGGTGATATAATTAAACGTTTTTTTAAATCGGATAATAATTCAGGAAGTTACGTTCCAATGGGCGCATATCTCGAAAGGAACCAAGATCTTTGGGTTATAAACATGCATGTCAAGTTTCATCAAAATTCTTTCAAAATTGTGATCTCTACAGGCTCCACAAGCTAAAAACATGATTTTTTGTACAATCAGGGGCCATAATCCATGAAGTTTCGATCCGATACATGCCAATATCGAAAGCAGCCGAGATCTTTTAGGGATAAACCTATATTTCATATTTCATCAAAATCGGATAAGAATTGTGACCTGTAGTGAGTCCACAAACAATTGTGGACGGACGGATGTCCAGACATACTTACGTCCGGACGGACAGGGGCGACGACAATATACGTCCACATTAAAATGTGGGCGTATAACAACAATCGGAAAATTGGATTCTTTCTACTATCTATGTATTTAAGACTTGCACTGTCATTTTTTTTGATCTATGTTTGGAAAATTACAACCATTATTCCAGTCATTTACTATTCTAAATGTTTGTACATAAAATAAAAATTCTCCAAACATTTTTCTTAGAAATAAATGAGTAGAACAGATAGTGTTAAGAAAAAAAAAGAAGATAGATTAGGAGTACTTGTGGCTTTTGTTATATAAAATCATTAATGCACAAGGTTCCAAAAATTAAATCATTTTATATTAAAAAAATAAACAAATTAAAATATGTAAATACAATATTATCATTCAATGTTTGATTTAATAGTAATTCAATATATTTATGCCGGTGTCATGTGTACTCTGGAGGGAAATCTTTCACATACAATTGAAATTTATGTGATAATCCAGTAGACAATGAGTATATCATTCACTTATTCCTAGAAACATTCACATGAAATATCACTCATCGTCTTCTTTCAAATTCTTTTCTTATCCAATCAGAATCCTGATAGAAACGTGGATCACCTAATTTTAATGCAGTTCTTTTATAGTAATAATAGTATAAAACCGCTCCTGAAATTGAAATACACAAACTTATATAAGAAGTACATGGTATACAAAATACAGGGAACCAATGCTTGAATATTGAGTAAACAATTAGCAGATTGGCATGCATATATGGTTATAAAACTAAAGATATCTTGAATGGGAGATGTGTTGTAGAATAATCAGTGCTTACAAAAGTCAAGTAATTCAACTGAGATCTGAAAAAGTTTCATAAAGATATCTTAAATGGTTTATTAGACATGTTCTGGAATAATAAATAAATAATTGTATAAAATTTGTTTCCATGTAAATACAAAATCTATTCAACTGAGAAATCTTGTATTAGCAAAAGTCATATACCGGTATTTACTATAATAGGCTAAAGTATGTACAAAGTTTCATAAAGATATAAAGGTATGTTGTTGCATGAAAAAATCTTGAATAAATTATTAATTAGCAAAAGGCACAACTACTATAATATGTTGATGTGTGTACAATGTTGCATAAAGATATCTTTAACCGTTTATGAGATATGCTCCAGAATAAACATTGTACTGTATACCAAAAAGTATACCATGGAAACACACAAATTATTAAATCCACAAAATTTCTTATTAGCAAAAGGTACAACTGCTATAACAGGTTAGTGTGTGTACAAAGTTTCCAAACAATACCTAATAGCCCGTTCAGACGCTCAAATTGAATTGGTTAAAAAAAACAGCGGCTGCCAGGCAGGATACGCCCACATTTTGCAAGAGATGGATAGAGAACAAGCTAAAAACAAAAACGATTTTTTGTACAATCAGGGGCCATAATCCAGAAAGTTATGGTCTGAAATGCACAAATATCAAAGGGGACTGAGATTTTTGGAATATAAAGATATGTTTTAAGTTTCATCAAACTTGGATAAAAATAGTGACCTCTAGAGGGTCCATACAAAGAGCGTCCATTTTGTCGGGCAGTCTTATTTCGATTCAACCTTCATTATGGTGGAATGGTGATCTAAACGGTTTTTAAAATCGGAAAAAAAAACCAGTGGCTGCCATTCTAGGGATGGATAGAGAACAAGCTAAAAAGAAAGTGATTTTTCCTACAATCAAGGGCCATAATTCAGGAAATTACAATTTGATATGTGCAAATATTGAAAGGAAGCGAGATCTTTGTGTTATAAACTTACATTTCAAGTTTCAACAAAATCGGATAAAAATTGTGACCTCCATAGGATCCACAACCTTGATATACCATATTTTTACGCTATTTGAGAACGGTGGCCATTTTGTCTGTCAATTCTGGGCCGGTTTTCACGAAATACAAACTCAGCCGTCCTTAGGGTGTAACGGTGATATAATAATACGGTTTTTAAAATCGGATAAAAATTATGACCTCTACAAGGTCCACAAGGTAATAACGCGATTTTTCGTACAATCAGGGGCCATAATTCAGGAAGTTACTGTCCGATATGCGCGAATATCGAAAGGAACCAAGATCTTTGGGTTATAAACTTACATTTCAAGTTTCAACAAAATCGGATTAAAATTGTGACCTCCATTGTGTCCACAACCCTGATATACCATATTTTTACGCCATTTGAGAACGAAGGGCGGCCATTTTGTCTGTCAGCTTTGGGCCGATTTGCACGAAATTCAAACTCAGCCGTCCTTAGGGTGTAACGGTGATATAATGATACGTGTTTTTAAAAATTATGACCTCTACAAGGTCCACAAGGTAATAACGCGATTTTTCGTACAATCAGGGGCCATAATTCAGGAAGTTACGGTCCGATATGCGCGAATATCGAAAGGAACCGAGATCTTTGGGTTATAAACTTACATTTCAAGTTTCAACAAAATCGGATAAAAATTGTGACCTCTATAGGGTCCACAACCTTGATATACCGTATTTTTACGCTATTTGAGAACGAATGGCAGCCATTTTGTCTGTCAATTCTAGGCCAATTTTCACGAAATTCGAACTCAGTCGTCCTTAGGGTGTAACGGTGATATAATAATACGGTTTTTTAAATCGGATAAAAATTATGACCTCTATAGGGTCCACAAGCTAAAAACGTGATTTTTCGTACAATCAGGGGCCATAATTCAGGAAGTACGGTCCGATATGCGCGAATATTGAAAGGAACCAAGATCTTTGGGTTATAAACTTACATTTCAAGTTTCAACAAAATCGGATAAAAATTGTGACCTCTATAGGGTCCACAATTTAAAAACGTGATTTTTCGTACAAACAGGGGCCATAATCAATGAAGTTTCGATCCGATACATGCCCATATCGAAAGCAGCCGAGATCTTTTGGAGATAAACCTATATTTCAAGTTTCGTCAAAATCGGATAAAAATTGTGACCTGTAGAGTGTCCACAAACAATTGTGGACGGACAGACAGGGGCGACGACAATATACGTCCACATGAAAATGTGGGCGTATAAAAAAACAGCTCAAGACCTGTCTTCGAGAAGGCTTTTTATTCTAAACTGGTTTATCTTGGCTGTCTGAACGGGTGGGCTTAAAATCCTCAGCAACAGCTTGCTTTGGGCATGTGCAGTAACTAATATTGAAGCAATAATGCCAGTTAAAATGGAGGAGTGAATTGGGGAGATGAGGAAACACATTTCTGTGTGAGAGGACACCATCCAAAAGTACTTGTGGAAAGGTATAGTTTCAACAATTTTCGCAGAATTTTTGACCAGATGTGTACACATATGCCAAGGAATGGTATTTGTCGATGCGTAGTTAACTCTAACTTCTGACCGATGAGGTCAGAATAGTTAAACTAGTTTGGGTTATAGTATGTAAAGAATATTAGGTGTGGGATAATAATTTACCTGTTCTTTGGAAAATATGTAAAACTCTATAACCAGTTCTATCCCAAACAAACATATTTGGTTCATCCCATCTTATTGTCTGTAATAAATTATGAAGAGTTAGGAACAGTAGATCTGATAAATATTTTATCAAATTAGATCTAAAGATTTCAGAAACTCTGTCCTTCTCTCCCATTTCTTTTGAAACTATGGTAACATAAGCTACAATTTTTTTTTAAATATTATAGAATAGATAGCAAAAGGATTCAAAGTTTGAATTTTATAAACAATATTTTGAAATTCAAACTGAACTTACCATTCCCCAAACATGTAAGGCTACACACAGTATAAAGTAAACAAATGTCACTAATATTGCCACTTTAAATTTGTTGACAAGAATGTTAACTAAACCAGCTTGGAAGATGTATGTATTGAAGAACAGAAGAAACACTACAATTACAGCAAAAACTATACATACGTCTTGTATTCTGAAAGGAGAGGAAATAAAGCAGTGAAAGAAGTATAGTTGTATATCAAACCCTACTCCTTGTCATGTACAAGTTTGGAATCAGAACCACATCACTTGACTCAATGACATACCATAAAGTGCACACTAAGATCTAAAGCGCATGCATTATACCATTCTGTCACCCCCCCCCCCCCTCCCCCGAGGATTTCTCTTTTGATTTAAGTTTCATTATCCTGATATTATTATTAGGACACAAAACTACCAAAGACCTAGCTCAACAACAACCACTAGATGTTTACATCCATTACAACATATTATGAAAAACTAAAATATTTTTCTACTTACACATAAAGCACTAACAGGATCACATTTTCAAATCTTAACATCTCATTAAAAGAGTTCATCACCAGGTCTATCAACAGCAATAAATACTGCAGATATAGGATAGGTTGATACCTACTAACTAACATTGTGATATAATTCTAGCACATTTAAATAAATTCAAGGTAAAGGAAGCATTGGTATTCTATTCTAATTCTTCTCGTATTGTTAAAAGGTGTCCTCAGACATTTCCCAGTCACCGCCACATTCACTCATTTTTGTATTACAGCTAACCTGAAGAAAAGAAAAAAAATGATTGAGAATTAAACTATAGGAAAGGGTTATAATACTGTGAACAAGCCAACAGTGAGGCTGATGTCCTCCGTCGCAATACCAAAATAAATAGATGACACATATTAATTAATTGCACATTTATCTTTTTGAAAAGTATCAAGCAATCAAACTCATTATCTATACTTAGTACAGGCAACAAATTCTTCACGATGTAACTCAGTCAAGGTTTTGAGGTACCCGGTAGTGAACCTCTACACTAAGATTCATCACTCCATAAGTTCGAATAAAAGTTATCTTGTCCCAAAGCATCGACCAATGAAATTGCTTAGCTCTGCTTAGCTTTAGCGGAAAATGTTAATCATTGAACTCAGTCAAGACATTCACCTAATGGACATCTACACCAAGTTAAAATATTCTACCTCAATTAAAAGCAGAGTTGTCATGTTCCAAAGTCTTGACCAATCAAATTGCTTATTGGTACGTTAGTCTAATAAGAAAATTCTCAGTCAATTATTGATATAATAAATCTATACTTTGAGTTTCATCACTCTCACCCAATTAGAACCAAGGTTATCGTGTTCCAAAATTGCTTATCTCTGCTTAACTTTAGTGGAAGTTGTGCATGATCGAAAACGGTCAAAGCATTTACCTAATTTAGTAATAGACACCTACACCAAGTTGGAACATTCTACTTCAGTTAAAAGGAGAGTTATTGTGTTCCAAAGTCTCAAACAATCTGATTGAAGTCTCTACTTACCCTAAGCAGAAAATGTTCATCATCTAACTTAGTCAAGATATTGATGTAATGAAACTATACACAAAGTTTCACTGCACTTTCATTCAACTTGAATCAAAGTTATCAAGCTCCAACTTTTACTGGGCAACTTTTTACTAATAAAAAGGTGCAACAGGGACTGACACATGACCGTTTAGCAGTAAAAAGTTGCCCAGTAAAATCGACTGGGAAGCGATTAGATTATTGACAAGGATTCAATAGGAAATGAAATGAAATGGAGTTTAACGTCCTACTGTTCTGCTCCTAACCTGGGCTAATGAAGACGGGCATACGCCATACAGTGTGCTATGAGGGAAATTTTGCCCGGACAGCGGCACTACGGCCTACTCTTATATCGAATTCCAACTGCCAAGGGATCTTTTACGTGCACGCCAATGTGTACACGGTACCTCGGTTTTTCGTCCCATCCGAACGACTAGACAGCTATCCTTGTCAGCCCCTCCGTCAAGCATCACTGAAAAGGGAGAACCACGTCGGAAAATCTGGATGAACTTTCTCGGCCAATGCAGGGATCGAACACCCGACCTCCAGGCTAGCGAGCTAGCGTCTTACCCACTTAGCCACGTGATCCCCAGGATTCAATAGGACAGTCCCTGAACGTACAGGGCGAGTGTAATGAGACCTACGTTCAGAGCTGAACTACGGTGGCGATAGTCTAATCACACTGTGACACTCACACTCAGACACTGACTGAGCTGTTTCGTGTTTGTAAAGCGTCTGACCAGATTCAAAGAAAAAGTTATTTATCAGTCTAATTATTAGTCTGGATGAGCAACAAAGTCATGCAAAATGCCAACATTTGACTTACATTCAATCATTTCCGTCTTTACTCTCATTTCAAATCAGTTATGTTCGGCGAAATACGCCTGAAGTCTCAATCGAAAGTAAATCTCTAGCGTCTGGTTATTCTAGTCTACATAGCGTGTATTGCATATGCTCTCCAGATAAGACTAAGAATTATGCGCCACCGTTTAGCCTCGTTCTTCAAGTCCCTTGTTAAAAATTGGAGTGAAACGCATTATGGTACACGATTCGTGTACCAATGGTAATTTTTAGGGTTTCACACTGTGAAGCTTGTGTGAAACACTATTGTTTTTGTTAAGATTATTAGGGTTTCACACTGCGTATCGCCAAATTAGGCGCCAAATTTTGAAAATTTAAATTTTGACAAAAAACTTTTTTATTAATGAATAATTTTTTATGGCATTTTACCCAGGGTTAAGGGGTCGTCTGATTTGACAAAAAATGTCAACATTTTTTGTCACCGTATTTTTCCTTGTCCCCCATTGGCTAATTCAGTTTTTCAGTCCTGGATTAATTATTTATTGTTTGATTTGTATAAAACAAAGTTCATATGTTCCGCGGTCCAAAATGTCATTTTTTTTGTTACCGGTACATTTTCCTTTCGCCAACGGAAGTAACATAAATTTAGCAAAAACTGCAATTTTGAGAGTTCGGTACCACTTTTTGAAAGCAAATATTATTTTTTTCAAATCTGGTATGACTGTTAATGCGCAGAAATCATCGCGCTCAGTTTTTTTAATTTTTATTTCGTTTTCGGATCATTTCGATTTAAAGGTGAAAAAAGGTGTAAAAATGAGCTACATTATTGTATTTACAACCCATTCAGGCTGTTCATATTTCAAAATATTCCTTCGCAACTTTCATAAACTTGTAGAATTAATCCATACGAAGAGAATCTATGTCAAAATTAGTTTGTAATATGAGTATTTACCGAGAAATGACCAATTTTGCATAAGTCACTTTTTACGCTATTTTGCCTGTACAAGAGCCAATTATTATTGGATTTTCATAAAAATGACACCAAACTTTAATTAGGTCAAACCAATTTAACATTTTCAGTGTCACCTGAAATGACATAATTTTGGCAAAAACTGTATTTATAGCCTTCAAAACCAATAATTTAGTCAAATGAGTCGTATTTTATATTTTTTTTTAAATTTTGATATTTGATTCCAATCAACTAATAGAACGAACCCATACGATCATATAGATATCACAAAATGGTTTCTAACTTGTTCTGTTGCAGAGAAACAGACGATTTTCAACAGGTGACTTTTCAAGGTTTTTGGTCCATAAAAGTGTCAATTATTATTCGATTTTCATAATATTTTCAGTGTGTGATACTTTATGCCATTTACGATTTCATACAAGTAATTAAAGATTTTCAATATTACCGGAAGTAACGTCATTTTGCCAAAAACTGTATTTTTAGCCTTCAAAACAGATATTTTATTCAAATGAGTCTGATTTGTAATCTTTTTAAAATTATGATATTTGATTCCAATTAACAAATAGATTGAACCCACACAATCATACAGATACCAAAAAATGCTTTCTAACTTGTACGGTTTTAGAGAAATAGACAATTTTCTACAAGTCACTCTTAAAGGTTTTTGGTCTATAAAAGTGGCAATTATTATTCGATTTACATAAAATATTCACCATGTGATGCCTTTTGCCATTTCTGATTTCATAAAACTAATTGAACATTTTCATTATCACCGGAAGTACTGTACACTTACATGTAACAAATGTATAAAATAAATTGATATTGCTGGATTTGTTTGATTCTGCGTCCATTTTATTTGATGTGTGCAATGCTTATGTGGAAACCTGTTTAATGGTTTCATTGGTACCGATAGTGAAATAGGTTTAAGGGTGACGTGCCACCGGTGAAACCTGTCATTACTGCGTCGCAGTTCTAGTGATGATTGTTTTTACAAAAAAAACAATCATCCAACACGTTGGCCGTTTTATTTTCCACTTGAGTATATCTCAGAAACTACTTGTCGGATCAATCCGATATCTTTGGTTTTTCAGGAAAGATGGCATGACTTAGCGATTAAATCTATTTCGAACATTCTGCGACAATGCGAAATGTCCGAAATCACCGAAGTTGTTTTTTTCTAAATATTGCCGTAATAATAACAATAATTGCCGGATTTTACCATTTGATACATTTTGACATAGCCAGAGACAAGGCACATAGCTACGGGTCTTTAGATTTTTGATTTTTGATGAATCTTCGGAGATATTAGGCGCCAAATTTTAAAATTTTACAAATTTTTTTTTTATTAATGGATATTTCTTTATGGTATTTTATCCAGGGCTAAAGGGTCATCTGATTTGAGCACAAATGTGAACAATTTTTGTCTCAGTAATTTGCGTTAGCCGCCATTGGCTAATTCAGTTTTTTGGTCCTAGATTGATTATTTATTGTTCGATTTGTTTAAAATAAAGTGCATATGCTCATTTTTCCAAAATGTCATTTTGTTTCTTACCGTATGCATCGGAAGTGACATAATTTTAACAAAATCTATAATTTTGACAGTTCGGTACCACTTTTTGAAAGCAAATATTATTTTTTCAAAATTTGATATTACCAAAAGGATGCGCCATGCAAATGTGCACAAAACATCGTACTCAGTTTTCTTAATTTCGATTTCGTTTTCGGGCTATTTCGATTAAAAGGTGAAAAATGGTGTAAAATTAAGCTATTTACAACCCATTCAGAGTCTTCATATTTTAAAATATTTCTTCGTAACTTTCATAAACTCGTAGCAATAATCCATACGAAGAGAATGTATGTGAAAATTAGTTTGTAATATGAGCGGTTGCCGAGAAACAGGCAATTTTTGCATGCGTCATGTTTCAAATTATTTGCTTGTAAAAGAGTCAATTATCATTCGATTTTCAATTTGTTTTTACCATTTGATGCCTTATGCCAATTTGTACTAGGTCAAGCCAATTTAACATTTTTACCATCACCAGAAATGACGTCTTTTGGTCAAAAACTGTATTTTTAGCCTTCAAAACTGATATTTTATTCAAATGAGTCTGATCTGTAATGTTTTTAAAATTATTATATTTGATTCCAATCAACAAATAGAATGAACCCATACGACCATACAGATACCATAAAAATGTTTCTAACTCGTACGGATTCAGGGAAATAGACGATTTTCTTCAAGTCACTTTTCAAGGCTTTTGGTCTATGAAAGTGTAAATTATTATTTGATTTTCATACAATTTTCACCATGTGATGCCTTATGCCATTTATGATTTCATAGAACTAATTTAACATTTTCATTATCACCGGAAGTAATGTCATTTTAGCAAAAACTGTATTTTTAGCCTTCAAAACAAATATTTTTTTGAAGTGAGTTATATTTAGTATTCGTTTACCATTATGATATTTCATTCCAATGAAAATATAGATTGGATCAATACGATCATAAATATGTCAAAAAATAGCTTCTAGCATCTTCTCTTGCAAAGAAATAACCAATTTCGTCAGGATCACCTTTTAAGACTTTTCGCATTTTTATTACAGTTTATGGGTTCTAAATTAATTATTTATTGCCGGTTTGTATAAAACAAAAGCTCATATACTCCTTGGTGCAAATTCTCAACTTGTTTCTACCTATAAAGTTTTCTGTCAGCACCGGAAGTGACGTAATTTTGCCTAAAATTTAAATTTTGACGGGTCGGGAGGTCTTTTCCTAAGGAAAAATCTTAATTTCTACAAATCTTATCAATGAAGATGAATGCTCCTACTACAGGCGCAAAATATGTCGGGCTTAGTTTTTGGGTTTTTTTTATATCAGTTTTGTATTTGCGCCATTTGGATTTAAGGTTGAAAAAAGGAGTAAAAATCAGCTATTTACAACCCATTCATCGTCTTCATATTTTAAATTATTTCTACGCAACTTTCATAATTTTGTAGCATTAATCAATACGAGGACAATGTATGTCAAAATTAGATTGTAATATGCGCATTTGCAAAGAAATAGGCAATTTTGCATGCGTCACTTTTCACGTTATTGTGCATGTAAAAGAGTCAATTATCGTTCGATTTTCAATTTTTGTTACCATGTGATGCCTCATGCCACCTTTGACTAGGTCAATCCAATTTAACATTTTCACTGTCACTGAAAATGACGACATTTGAGCAAAAACCCATACGACCATACAGATATCACAAAATGGTTTCTAATTTGTTCGGTTGCAGAGATATAGGTTTTGGTCTATAAAAGTGTCAATTATTAGTCGATTATCATAAAAATTTCACCATGTGAGGCCTTATGCCATTTATATTTTCATGGAATTAATGTAAAATTTTTATTATCACCGGAAGTAATGTAATTCTGGCAAAAACTGTATTATTAGCCTTCAAATTGTTTTGAAGTTAGTTATATTTATCATTCGTTTAACATTATGATATTTGATTCCAATGGACATATAGATTGGATCAATACGTTCATATAGATGTCCAAAAATTGCTTCTAGCATCTTCCCTTGTCGTGAAATTTCCCATTAAAAAGTCAGCTAACTTAGCGGTAAGTTAGTAACAAATTTTGTAAGGATCACTTTTTTGACATATGTAACACATGGTAACAAATGTATAAATGAAATTAATATTGCTGGGTAACTGGCACCGGAAGTGACATAAGTTCCAGGGTAATGTGGCACCGGTGAAACCCGTCATTACTGCATCGCAGTTCTAGTTTTTATTTTGTCTTTAAAAATATTGGATATCAGAAGCCCATCTTTTCCCGGTAACATCACAACATCAATGTTGATTTAAATTGACAAATAATTTGTGTTTTCATTCTCAAAGATTTTGGATGATATTGAGTTAGAGACTTAGCTCCTTTAATTCCAGTCCAGTAGCAGGGGCAAGGCCCAGATCCAGATTGGCAGAAGCCAGAGACGGCGAGAGGGAGAGTGACTCTCAGTGACACAGATTCGAGAAGAGTGAGACATATAGCCCGTTCAGACGCTTAAGTTGAACTGGTTTAAAAACCCCGGGGATCGTTAAACCAGTTTAACTTAAGCGCCTGAACGCACATGTGGGGCAAATAAACCAGTTTAAAAACCCCAGCTCGCGACCTGTCTTCGAGAAGGCTTTTTATTTTAAACCGGTTCATCTTAGCCGTCTGACCAGGTTGGCTTAAAAACCCCAGCTCCAGCTTGCTTAGAGCATGCGCAGTACGCAGTAAGTTACATTCCTGCGATGTCTGTGCCAATGTTATCTAAAGCGTGCGAGAACCGAATAAAGAATATGAAGCTACCCATGCGCAATTACTGTGTGAACCATCGTAAATTTTAAACAGATTTCTTCGATTATGAACAAACTACTTAACTTTGGTTATTATAAACTTACCTGAGTGTTTGTAATGAACTCCCGTTCGATAAAATCCATTGCACAACTAATTATCACAACGATGAAAACAAGTTCTCTCTTGAAAAATTTGAAAATTTACTTGTAATTTCGACAGAGTCGATGTCAACAATATCTTCGTGACGTATTGGTCGAATCCAATATACCTGTTGCGGGGGTTGCTTAACATTGAAAGATAGTTTGACAGCGCGATCATTTTGATCGTATATGGGTTTGGGCGACGAAAAATATCAATTGAAGGCAATTACATAGTAGGAGATTTATATGGAAACCATTGATCGCCAGTCTATCAAATTTTCTTCACAATTAAATTATCACTGATTGCACGGATACTCGTAAAAATAAAGTCATATATAAACTATAAATATCCTATCTTCTTTCTGTTATAAATAATTTAACAAGGATCATGAAGCTTACCTCCGAATTCTCTGAGTGTATTTTTAATTTTATACGCATCCTTTCGATCGAATAATAACCGCTTCAGTAACATCTTTAAGCGTGTTGCGACAGCCCTCAACGTGCCTATTGGGTGCCCGGGTGGGTATATAATGCTACTAAGCCTGTATGACCCCGTAAGAAGCGGAACATTAATTCTCGATTCGACAGTTTTGACCGAAGTGTGATGAAGCCCGTAAAACAAATGTATAGTTGTGTTTGTGCGGCATGCGTGTTCAAAAGTAAATTATCCCATCGGAATCGCTAATCAAATAATTAGAACAAAATATTTCAAAAAGTAAAGCTATAAAATTTGCAGAGATTTTACTAGAATGTAAAAGACGGTAACTAAAATGCGGGTAGTTATGTGTGCGAACGCTCAAACTCAATGCCAATTGTCGTAGGTATCCAGACCACTCGGACCAAAGACTACTCGGACTAAGACCAGTCGGACCAAAACAAGACCAGTCGGACCAATTAAATTATATTATAAGGCTAGACAATATGCTATTTATTTATTATTAAATCACAATACAAAGAAGCAAATAATTCTTATACGGAATTCTTATATTTAGAGTTGTTTAGTTCAATTTTGTGTACGTAAAATAAATCAACGATTAGTTTTAAAATTAATTAATAATGGTGACAAAAAAAAATATCAATCTAATTTTTCTTATTTACTCTTGCAATGAGACTCGGTATGTCCAGACTTTTGACAGTTTCTACATATATGGGTATACTGTTCTTATCTGATGGCCTAATTTTACTTTTTCCACATTCGCGGTATCCCCAGTGGTTTCATTCCGTTCTACCCCACTTACCACTGGGTTAATATATGGGGGGGAGGGAGACACGTTTTCAAGTTATCCGCCCTTGATGCGTTAATATAAACAGCCCATAATAATACGAAGACCGGACGTTTATAATATGCACCTTTTTAAACGTGACTACAAGTGTGGTTCTCGATATTTTGCGATTTGGGATACAATTATCAATTTATTCAAACAACACGTTATTATTAGTTCGAGTAGTCATATTAAAACACACACAATTAGCAATTTATTCAAATAACACTTTATTATTGGTTCGAGTAGTCATATTAAAATAAACACAATTATCAATTTATTAAAATAACACTTTATTATTGGTTCGAGTAATCATATTAAAACAAACGCAATTATCAATTTATTAAAAAAACACTATATTATTGGTCCGAGTCGTCTTTCTGTTGGGTCCGAATAGTCTTTTTGTATGGTCCGAGTAGTCTATTTGTTTGGGCTGAGTGGTCTATCAGTTGGTCCGACTGGTCTTGAACCGGGTGGTCTTTGGTCCGAGTGGTCATGGATTCTTGTCGTAATTGTACTTGAATTTCCTATGCTGTCACCCCTAATACGAAATGATATCCTCCGTAGAGTGACGTAACCATCTTCCATATTGGTATTTTTCTCTGGGAAAAGTTTGTGATATTTCAATTTTTCAAGAGAGAACTTGTTTTCATCGTTGTGATAATTAGTTGTGCAATGGATTTTATCGAACGGGAGTTGATTACAAACACACAGGTAAGTTTATAATAACCAAAGTTAAGTAGTTTGTTCATAATCGAAGAAATCTGTTTAAAATTTACCAAGACTCAGACAGTAACTCTAACCTCCGACCGAAGAGGTCAGAATAGTTAAACTAGTTTGGCTTATAGTACGTGTGAACGCAACACGATGCTGTCTTAAAAACCCCAGCGTAATTTATGAACTGGTTTAAAAATAAGCGTCTGAACGGGCTATGAGAGTGGAAATTAGTTAATTCCTGACTTACTCAATTACTGTTCGATCCACCAATCAATGTTTTGTAGCTTTCTTATTTATGCTTTGAAAACTTTACCATCCGATTATTCCACAGAAGGTGTAATTTAATTTTTCTCAGTTTTCGTGTACAATCTTGTTTTTGTCTTCCATCTTGTTTACTATCACTACAAAATAACGCAATTTCTCGTTTTTTCTCGTTATGTCTTTTCATTGAAATCCATAAATATCCTGTTCGTTGTTGATGGAAATTGGTCTTTATTATCGTATCATTCTTTAACTGTACCCTTTGGCCTCTTTTGATACACCACGAAGCCATAAACGTTGATGTCTCTAAAAGGCTGCAGAGATGCAGAAATTAGCAGTCACGTGACACCGAAGTTAGAAATAACATGGCAGCACAGCGCGGGAAATAACGAGAGTTTTTTGTTATTGAAATGAATAGATTTTAAATTCAAGGGAACCAAGCACACTGATATAAATATTTCACTAAAGCCAAAGGTGCATATAAAAACTATATTCACAATGTTTGGACGGCGCATATTTGATCTGTGTCTGCCTGTCAGTCTTACGGTTGGGTTAGGTTAGTAATAGTAATAATAGTACGAAGTTAAAGGACAATATTGGTGTCAGTCATTATCACATAATTATATGTAGGGGTTTCAGGTCACGTGACTTTAGCGTGAAATCGGACAGCCAGAGACAGAAATATACCCCACTTCAATCTACGATTCTGAATTACTATTTTATGTAAATGCATTACTAGCAATTGTATTGCAATAGTTTAATATCAATCTCAATATCTGCAAAGATTCAGGCTAAAAAATTATCGAAATGTAAGCGAAATTACTGTTTGTTTACATGAGACGCTCGCGGGAAAATACCACTCTGACGTCACACGGCCTGAGATTTTCCATTGCTACGACTCACTTCATTGGTGAATCCGCACCTTAGTTACCGGGGGATTTTGATATAGAACCAATCAAACGATAGATAACATTTTTGTGATTATTATGCTTGTTGATAATTGATACCATATGGTCGGACAATTAGACACGGAGAAAATGGGATTTATCTGTTTTGATGACTGAAAATTGCTAAATTTCGACTAAATATAAAAAAACTTTCTTGAGGTATCATCCAGATTATAAATATTTGACATATTATCAATCAAATTATTACGATTTTAATAAATTTTAGCAGACAATAACGTGCGGATTTCAGTTTTAATATTGGTACTAGCGATTCTGAAGGGAGAGAGAGAAATGGGGTTTAACGTCCACTCGACACAAACTAGGTAATTTCGGGACTAACATATGGTTTAATTTTATTTCAATAATTTGCTTGCGCGTAGGGGTCTTTAGCAGTGGGAGGAAACCGGAGGACCCTGAGAAAACCCTTGAGGTTGGACAGGCGACCCTACTCCTTGTCACGTACAACCGGGGATTCGAAACTCCGCCAGTTGACTCAATGACAGACTTTATGATACAGCGCGCGCACGCTAACCATTCAGCCATCCAACCCCCGATTCTGAAGGGAAAATACCGCTTATGACGTCACTCAAATATGACTGAAAAGCACTCACTTTGGTGCCATGCCACGCATTGACTGGTATAGAGCATTTTGATTACATTTTTGACGTCGATCTTGGATTTTAAAATTCCATAACTTTGGATCTAATTAGAATATTTTGATGAAATAAACAAATTTGGGTAGCATTTTATGTATATTTTCACAAAATATTTTTAATTTTTTTTTTTCTGTCATTTGAAACTTTGACCTGAAACCCCCAATATATGTGATAAAACTGGTTAAACACATTCCAAATATAATTTTAACGCAGAGGTCATTGCTACGATAGATGAGTAATACAGGTGTCATGAATCGGAAGTTACGAACGCCAAAGGAAAACACGAGTTATCCCTCTATATAACTCATTAACTGACTGAAGCGACGATTGAAAAAAGATACACGGCCGTATTTCTACTCACTAATAATTCCTTCGAAGACCAAAAGTTGTTGTGTGAGACTAGCTGCGAGAGGATATCTGACAATTCATAAAAAGAATTGACTGCCACGAGATAAGAGAACACGAAAGAAAAACGGAAATTCTGTGCATTACCATGTTTTTATAAGGTATAGAATGAATAAAAACAACAGAATGTACGGACTATTTCTATTTTTCTCGTGTTCTCTTACCTAATGACATTCAATTACTTTATTGAATTGTCAGATATCCTCTTACAGTCCCATATAACAACTTTTGGTCTTTGAAGGAATTATTACTGAGCAGAAATTTGGCCGTATATCTGTTATCACTCGTCACTTCAGTCAGTTATATAGAGGGATAACTCATGTTTTCCTTTGGTGTTTGTCACTTCCGATTCATGACACCTGTATTACTCATCTATCGTAGCAATGATCTCTGTGTTAAAATTATATTTGGAACGTGTTTAACCAGTTCTATCTTATGTGATAATGATGGGACGGAAAACTGGCCAAATTTCCCAAATAGCCAACGCAAGGTTAGATGCCCTTCTTCTTCTCATTACCCCGATTACTGCAGAAAAGTAGGATGTTAAACCCCATTTCACTTCAGTTCAGTCTGTCAGCCTCAAATCATCAGTCCTAAAAAGTGGGCCTATATAGGCCTACACTGTCTGATCATGAGCCATGCTGAAGAATAAAGTATTTTACTCATACTGCCGTATGAACAAATTATTTTATTATGTATGGTGTTTGAAATGACCACCGGTAAAAGAAAATCAATTGTAGGCTTCAGTTAAATATTCCAATGCATAAAAAATTTATTTAATAATAATAAACTGTAAGTTGTCACATAAACGAAACAAATAAAGGAAAAGTCATCTAGAGCTTGAAGAATTACACTCATCGAAGCTAATAACATAACTTGTCCGGATAGATCGTTTTTATACGCCCACATGGAAATGTGGTCGTATATTGCCGCCGCCCCCGTCCGACGGTCCGTCCGTCTGTCGGTCCATTTGTCCATCGTCCACAATTTCTTGTGAACGCTCTAACACCAAAAGTTATCATCCAATTGTTTTAAAATTGATGTATGTTGTTTACATTAGTGAGATGAAAAAGCCTATTTAATTTCAATGATTTCCGTTTTTAACGTCTAGAGTTATGGCACCTGTTTCACTTTGTTGAACCTTGTGAACGCTCTAATGCCAAAAGTTATCATCCGATCTATGTGAAATTTATATGCAATATTTAAATTAGGGAAACGAAGAAGCCTATTGAATTTCAGCAATTTCCGTTTATTACTTCTAGAGTTATGGCCCTTGTTTCACTTTGTTTAACCTTGTGAACGCTCTAACCCCAAAAGTTATCATCCTATCTTTCTGAAATTTATATGCATTATTTAAATTAGTGAAACAAAGAAGCCTATTTAATTTCAATAATTTCCGTTTATAATGTCTAGAGTTATGGCCCTTGTTTCTCTTTGTTGAACCTTGTGAACGCTCTAATGCCAAAAGTTAACATCCGATCTTTGTGAAATTTATATGAAATATTTAAATTAGGGAAACGAAGAGGCCTATTGAATTTCAGCAATTTCCGTTTATTACTTCTAGAGTTATGGCCCTTGTTTCACTTTGTTTAACCTTGTGAACGCTTTAACCCCAAAAATTATCATCCTATCTTTCTGAAATTTATATGCATTATTTAAATTAGTGAAACGAAGAAGCCTATTTAATTTCAATAATTTCCGTTTATAACGCCTAGAGTTATGGCCCTTGTTTCACTTTGTTGAACCTTGTGAACGCTCTAATGCCAAAAGTTAACATCCGATCTTTATGAAATTTATATGCAATATCTAAATTAGGGAATCGAAGACGCCTATTGAATTTCAGCAATTTTCATTTATTACCTCTAGAGTTATGGCCCTTGTTTCACTTTGTTTAACCTTGTGAACGCTCTAACCCCAAAAGTTATCATCCTATCTTTCTGAAATTTATATGCATTATTTAAATTAGTGAAATGAAGAAGTCTATTGAATTTCAGCAATTTCTGTGTATTATGTCTAGAGTTATGGCCCTTATTTCACTTTATTGAACCTTGTGAACGCTCTAATGCCAAAATTTATCATCCGATCTTTCTGAAATTTATATGCATTTTTTAAATAAGTGAAACGAAGAAGCTTATTGAATTTCAGCAATTTCTGTTTATTACGTCTAGAGTTATGGCCCTTGTTTCACTTTATTGAACTTTGTGAATGCTCTAACATCAAAAGTTATATGCTGATCTATATAAAATTTACGTGCGTCATTTAAATTAGTAAAGAGAAGAATCGTATTGAATTTCAGCAATTTCCGTTTATTACTTCTGGAGTTATTGCCCTTGTTTGACTTTGTTCAACCTTGTTAATGCTCGATTGATGAAAGTTATCATCCGATATGTATGAAATTTATATGCATCATTTAAATTTGTGAAACGAAAAAGCCTGTCAAATTTCAACAATTTCTGTAAATTACTTCCAGAGTTGAGACCCTTGTTTCAATTTGTAGAACCTTGTGAACCCTCAAAACAGCAAAAATTATAATCTGATCTGTATGGAACTGTCTTGTAAAGGCCCCCAATTAACTACAAAGGAATAAATATGCGACAACCCTTGTCGACCGCTCGGATGATTTAGCTGCTGTGGGCGTATGTTTTGTTGCCTGGCAACCTATCTTATACACAGGGATGACAACCTATCAAAAAGTTTCGCAGCACTTAAATATGGTACGGTACAGTATTTTATGAAAAAAAATTTAGTCACTGCTCAGTTTTGAGTTTTGGTGTTCACAAACAAAAATATATATACACTTAATACCTTTGTCTGTTATTTTGTTTCTATCGGATACTAACCGGTAAGATCACAATTTTCTTGCTTTGTCTTTTAAATATTTATATGAAGACTGGGTAGTTTCCCTTGTACAATGCTGTGGTCAAAACTATCAAATTTCTAAATTTTCATGTGGACATATGCTGTCGCCCCTTTCCGTCCACAATTTGTTTGTGGACACTCTACAGGTCACAATTTTCTCTGATTTTGAAGAAACTTAAAATATAGGTCTATCTTCCAAAGATCTCGGTTCCTTTCGACATGGCATGTATCGGACTATAACTTCATGGATTATGGCCACTGATTGTAATAAAAATCACGTTTTTAGCTTGTGGACACTCTAGAGATCACAGTTTTCACCCGATTTTGATGAAACTTGAAATGCGTGTTTATAACCCAAAGATCTGGCTTCCTTTCGATATTCGTGCATATTGGATCCTAACTTCCCGAATTATGGCCCCAGATTTTACGAAAAATCACGTTTTTAGCTTGTGGTCACAATTATTATCCGATTAAAAAAAACATGTTTGCATCAAAGTTACACCATATGTTAGTTGAGTTCGAATTGCAAGAAAATCGGACCAAAACTGCCGGACAAAATGGCGGCCCCTCGTATGCAAATAGTGTAAACATCTGGTATATCAAGGTT